CGAAAGTTAGCTATGTCGACGAAATGTCATCGGGAAATGTCTAATACTCAAATTGCGCCAGCATAGACATTTGCCGACGAACTATCGTCGGGAGAGGTCTTTTTTGTAATAAATATAAACTAATTATGTTTAGGTTAATTAAATTTTTTCAATTTTATTTTTAGTACTTTAATTAGTTAAATTAGTAATTATATTTTAATTATTATTTCTTTAGTGAATAATTAGTATTGAATATTTTAATTAATTTCATGAATTATATTATTTAATAAATAGTAATTAAAATTTTCTATTTTTTTCCTTAATAAATATTTAAGTACAAATAATTCACTAAGTAAATAATAACTAAAACATAACTACTAATTAAAGTAATTAAAAGAGACAAGGGTTATAGCCAGGCGGCTATACCATTTAAAAATAATAATAAACCGCGTATAGCCGTCCGGCTATACTATATATTTTACAGAAACCTACCTATCGCCTGCCACGTGTCAAAAAGTAGTACAGCCGTTCGGCTAGACTATTTTTAAAATAAAATTTTAAAAAGGGCATACATCCTGGTGGCTACAGCATTTTTTTTTTAAATTCGGAGAGTATAGCCGTGCGGCTATACAATTTTTAATAAAAAAAGACAAAATTGTGTATAGCCACCGGCTATACTATTTAATTAAAAATCCTAAAATTAGTATATTAAGGTTAATTTATTTTTAGTGATTAAATAATATCTTTACCTCATTTAATTAGTTAAATTAGTAATTATATTTTAATTATTATTTCTATAGTGAATAATTAGTATTAAATATTTTAATTAACTTCATGAATTATATTGCTTAATATTCTATTTTCGGAGTATAACCGTGCAGCTAGACCTTTAAAATATTATTTTTGTAGAGTATAGCCGGGTGGCTGTACACTTTAAATATATTTCCACATTGCACCACCAATTAAAAAATATATAGATTTCTCTGTAGGCTTATCTTTTGAGGTACCCTTTGTGAAAATCGAAAATCGAAAATCCACACTCCTATAAAGGTGTTTATAAACAAAGCACTATGATGATTTGGCAAGTACTGTTAATATTGGAGAGTTGGGCTAATAGGCTTGGCTATAGGCTCGGCTTTGGATTTGGCTATACTTTTTTTTTTTTAAATTAGAAAAAATTGAGTATAGCCGCCCAATGTTTATTCATCTAAAGATACTTATATGAAAAAAAAAAACCTATCTCGACCAATGTTTGTTGGCACATGTCTGTCCCAGTTAAACTCTCCTAGTGAAACTTACAAAATTTTCAATAAGACACACAAAATTTACGTATTATACACATAACTTTCACATATTATTGAATAAAAATAGTATATATTAAGGGTAAATAATTTTCTCACTCCCCTTTTATCCACCTACACTCCTTTTTGTTTAGAAAAATGGAGTGTAAGTGGATAAAAAGGAACGAATTTTTTTTTAAATCGATTCCAGAGGGAGTAGGAAAATCAGTAATCATATTAAAATATTATATAGTGGTTGAACTTTTTTGTTGTAACTTACCAAAATTATATATATATATATATATTAATAAATAGTACAGCTGCCCCGCTATACTGGGTTTGGCTTCTTTCAAATTCTCCACTATACCTTTTAGATTTTTCTTTGAGAGAAATTCAAACAAGTGATTTGGCAATCTAAAACTAAAAGCTGGAGATGTACACAGTTTTCATGAGCAAGTTTTTTCTTAATGCCATTTTTATATTATTCAAATATGGAGGTTGCAAGTTGTTATATATAAAAATAAAGTAAACCAAAGATCAGATGAGTTTATTTGAAAACAGCTTCCATATCTATGAACTCTTTAATTCATGTCTTTCTGATATTAAAAATCCTGGTGAGACCCGATGCATAATAAATTAATAATGGGAATGTATAGCGCATCTTCCTAAAGAAAGGATAACTAGTCGTCCGAGTTCCAACCAATGTTATTACTAACTTATGTTATGTCTTATTTTTGTTCCATCTCCTAATACAAGGGTTTACTGTCGCATGCCATTTATAATTATGTGGACCAAGCCACTGTTAATTTGTTTATTAGAGCATCTCTAAATGAGATATTAATTATTTGATGTGTACGGGCATGAAATGTCAACATTTGGAGGAAAAAAAAAACTTACTCCAATTCAATTGAGTAGTCAATTCTTACATGAATTTAAAGACTGGAAGAGATATGTCAAAAATAATATCTCGTAAATTATCTGCTTTTCTTTTCCTTTTTCTATTTTCAACCCTAAAATCACCACCCACAATTAGTAAATAACTAGTTTATTTATTTATTTATTTATTCGATACAAATAGGACATACGGCACCCTTCCAATTTGTATCTTATTTATGGACACTATTTAAAACAACATACATTACATTTAAAACAACACTATTTAAAGCTTTTGCTCCCAATCAGAGCTTGTTCCGGTACCAAAACACACCGTTTTGAGCACCATGCTCATCAGGTTCAACAAAAAGGCACTCTCTAGCCTCCCTCCACAGAGCCTTCCAAATTGGAGTTGCATCTAAACTATAATACTCTCCCAAAATAGGCTTGAGCACATTGGTTGCTTCCATTGCATGATTATGCGGCATTGTAGAGAAGAGATGGTGCACAACATGTGTATTTGTACTATTATGGAACACCTTGTTAAGCACCCCATAGTCTCTGTCCGCAGTCACCAAAGCCCCTCTCGGCCAATCCCGTTCCCACTCGCCGTAGTGCGGCAGCGAAGGATGTGTGTGCTGCAAGTATGTGATTAGCACAACACACACATTAACCACAATCATTGGCACCCCATAAACACAAACAAGCCAAACAAACCCTTTGGCCATGACAATTTTATAGAGCACATAAATAGCAGACATGATCCCGAGGTCAGAAATGGGTACTTGAAGCCTCTCCCGGTTGGAAATTATAGGGCCGTTGAGATCGTAGTGGCATGTAAACCGTTTAGATTTTTGTTCATACTCCCGGTTGGCTAAGGGAGGGTTGTGTAGGTGTACTATTGAATAAAGTGTGTAATATAATGGGCTGAGGCCCTGGAATAAATGGTGATAATTTATAGATGATAATTGATGCATGTTAAAACCTCGTTTGTTGGATTGGGGAAAGTTCGTGGTGAGTTTTGCTTTCGGCAATTATAAGTGTGTTTGAGCTTGTTCTTGCCATGTTTAAGGAAATTTTCATCTAAAGACTTTGTTGGCAGATCTTTTTGGGAATATTTGAAGGCCGGAGGCCAATTAGATGAATTGCATGTTACTACATTGTGCGTGCTGCCAGTTGTGGTTATTAAATGCGTTTTATGCAGGTGGAAATTTTGGGAAATGTTCAAATTACAGGGGAGATTCTGCCGAATTTTCGGCAGAAAGTCTCATGCCCTTACTCCTCTTAAAGAAGGAGGTTACCTGTTTAAGGAGTGAAACCAGCATGGGTGTGATGCTGGGGTCTCCGCAGGATTCGTCTCGGGTTTTGTGAAAAATTCGGGGTAGGTCCTGTCAAAACCGGTCGTATTCCTGGCCCGAAATGTTGAAAGCCAAATACAAGGGCCAGCCGACTGTTAGAGTGACAAGAATAACCAAGAGCCTGCCTGGTGGGTACCATGGCATCTTAGACTTAGGTTTTTGAACGAACACTTCGTCCCGGGTTAGGTCGAAGAGGACGTAGGAGAAGGAGCGGAGGAGAGAGCGGTTGAAGCAATGTGGTGGAATGGGGTTTTTAGAAACCTCGATCCCAAACCATTACAACAACCTTGTTTGTGTCAAGAGGTTAGTAAATTATTAAAGTATTTATCTATATAAAGCAAAAGACAGAGAATGGTGAAATATTTAAAATATCAGAAAATGCCATGGGTTAATTCAAATATTAAAAATTAAAATTATTAATTAAATTAAGATAATATGATAAATTCACATTTTTTCATATTTTAAAAAAATTAAAATTAAAAACAAAATCAGATAATAGGTCATACTTTTATGGAATATAACTATCCATGTTATCTTTTCTTAATTCTAAAAATAAAAAAAAATAAAAAAAAGAAAACCAATTGGCACATGCATGGGCTAGTTAAGTTTAAACCAAAACTCCCTAAAGAAAATATATATAGTAAGGTTTATCTTTTGTTTATTTTCATTAGTGAATAATTGTGTAATTTTATAATTTTATAAGAGAAAATGATAATTTATGTAACAAAAAAGAAAAATGTACGTTGGTATTCAACAATAATATTATAAATAAGGCTTAGTTTGGTTGGTTACGTGGCAGCCGGAGGTAATCTAATGGTGATCGCCGATTGTCTAGGTGGCTGTAGTGCGCTCTTAAACTAAAATGGGCAAAATAGTTTTTTCCCCTTATAAATTTAAATAGACCCACTTCATTTACCTTTTCTTTCTTTGGTACCATGGCGTTTAAGCCTGGCCCAAAAGCTTGATGCTGAGGCTCTAACCCAAACAAGCTAATGGAGTTTAAAAAAAAAAAAAGGAGAGAAAGTCAAGGAAATAGTCAAAACCTCAAAACTGAACGTTAGGGTTTTTGGTGGTCGTTTCTCAGAGTTGGAGCAAAGAGGTTAAGGTAAATTTCCTTCTCCTTTTCATGTTCTCAAAATTCCGTGTTTGGATTGGTGTGTTTCCGATGCCCAGGTTTTTCAATTGAAGATTGAATTAAGCCTCTCAGCTCCAAAAAAAAAAAAAAAAAAGCCTCTCAGCTCCCATTTTTATTTTTTCGTTTGCAGGAACCCTTTATCGTCATGGAAGAACAACACCCAGGTTCTCTCTCTCTCTCTCTCTCTCTCTCTCTCTATGTGCAACAGTTTTCTTATTCTATCTGTGTTTGTGCTTCATGCATATTCAAGCTGATGTTTACTTTTAAGTATTAAAATTCCACTGCTTTAATTGTAATCTCAGTGACAAATTCGAAAAGTCGAAAAAGCAAAGATGGGAACAAAAGCCAGAAAAGCTCCAAGTCTCCAGGTCAGGCGAAAGAGCATAAGGACCAACTGGAAAGACTTAGTGAAAAGGTTAGAACTTCTGTTTTGCCATTTATACAAGTATATGTGATTTTTACTGAGTACATTTGTTTGTTTGTTTTTTTTGGCCATAATTTGTGACGTGTATTCATATTTGTGTATTTTTGGTAATGTTTATATGCATATGCCTATCTGAGTATATAAGAATATGTACTTGAGAATGTAAGTTTGCAGCTTTCATACTTAAGTTAGGATTTGATTTGGTGGGAGGTTGGGTTACATTTCTGAGATATCAATTTCAAAGTTGTTTCATTTGTTTGTTATTCCATAACAACTTTTTGGCTCTGTAGCTATTTTGGTTGAATTGCTTTGGCCCAGATTTTAATTGGATGCGGGATGTAATCTTTAAAGTTTGATGTGTTACCTGCATTTGCCATCTACTAAAGAAACTGTGGTTGGCTGATAACTTCTTGATTTTATGACTTTGTATTTGTGTTTTTTTTATATGCTATTACACTTAAGTAATGAAGTTATTAATGATTCTTAACCTGCAGGACCCAGAGTTCTATGATTTCTTAAAAGAGCATGACCAGGAACTTCTACAATTTAATGATGAGGACATCGATGTGAGTATGCAAAAGTTTCTTTTTAAATTTTAAGTATTACTCAGGGAATGCTACATATGAAATTAAGCCTGTACCTGTTTTACGCAGGAAGATTCAGATACTAACTTGAAAGAAGATGAAACACCAGTAGATGAGGAAATACAAGTGGATGAAGAGACTGGCCGTCATGATGTTGTACAAAAGAAAAAGAAACCATCTAAACAAGTTATAACTAGTGAAATGGTTGATTCCTGGTGCAACTCGATTAGAGAAGATGGGAAGTTGAGTGCTATTCATTCTCTAATGAAAGCTTTCCGCACTGCCTGCCACTATGGTGACGATAAAGAGGATGAGTCTATGTTAGATTTCGGTGTTATGTCTAGCAGTGTCTTTAATAAAGTGATGTTATTTGTACTTAAGGAAATGGATGGAATAATCCGAAAATTGTTGGAGCTCCCTGCTTTTGGTGGGAAGAAGGAGACCATACTAGATGCGATGAACACAAAACGATGGAAGAACTACAACCATTTAGTGAAGTCATATCTTGGAAATGCCTTACATGTCTTGCGTCAAATGACTGACACAGAAATGATATCATTTACTTTACGGCGTCTTCAATACTCTTCCATATTTTTGGCTGCTTTTCCTGTTCTCTTAAGGAAGTACATTAAGGTAAGTGCAGAGATACACATGATTTTATATTCTGTTTGAAATAATTTCTTCTTTGTTGTTATATATTTACACCTCTACTGCCTGTGCTTTGGATATAGCTTGAGGTTGTGGTCACTGCTATCAATACATTCTATATAAATTTCCAATTCCATTATATGTGGGCATGTAGGTTATATTCAGAATAGATATCTGTTATTGGTTTTTACCTCCTAATATTTCTCTTTATAGTATTCTTTTTAATGTTGGTTAAGTGACAACTAAATAATTTGTATTACTTTTCACAGACTGCTGTAGACTTATGGGGTTTAGGGGGAGGTTCCCTCCCTCTTGTCTCCCTTCTGTTTCTAAGAGATTTATGCGTTCGGCTTGGATCTGATTGCTTAGATGAATGCTTTAAGGGGATGTACAAAGCCTATGTCTTGAACTGCCAGTTTATAACTGCATCAAAATTGCAACATGTCCAATTTCGTGCAAATTGTGTAATCGAACTCTACGGTGTAGACCTTCCCACTGCGTATCAACATGCCTTTGTTTTCATTCGACAATTAGCAATGATTTTGCGGGAAGCACTCAATGCAAAAACTAAGGTATTACAAGCCTTTAGATATTATTGTTTACCCTTTGTTATGTTATTGCATTTCTGTTGCAGCATACATCTTAGTTGGACTTAAGAATGATCATCGTACCAATTTTATTATTCTTATCTGAAAAATTGACTGTTTACATAAGCTCCCTCTATTTACATAAAAACAAAAAGATTTTCTTGGTCACATTGAATAAAAATGCTAGCTTCTGCCTCCATTTTACAAAATTTTAGTTTATATTG